AGGATACTGATGCTGTTCCCTGGCCATTCAGCATTTAAGGATAAATAATTAGAAGAAAAAAACATGTATTGAGCTCGATGTCATACAACGTTAAAGACACATAATGGTCGTAGGAGTCCTCTTCATCATCTGATGGTAGCTCGGAAAGACTCACATAGCCTGTTCCCTTGCGGACCTTCCGATGACAAGACAAATCAACACCTCTTCTTCGCTGTACAATTAGACAATCATCAAATGGCGTGCCTTCCCTTTCGGATCACCGGTATGTCCTTCGGCCTAACAAGGAACCAGCAACTGAAGATTTAGCTAGCTTGTCAGTCACATGAAGCACACCTGCATGTGCATCTCTCCAACAATAGTACACGCATGTACATGCAATCTCACCACAAAATTGCCGTAGAGTGCCTTCGAAGGAACATTGAAGCTTACTCCCCTTTCCTGCAAATTCTTCGGACACGGGAAGTGGGAAGTGTGCGGAAACAGGATTCGGATACTGTAGGATACGCAGCCAAGAAACTCAAGTGAACCACGCAACTAGTAGCTAGTTGATTCATATTGTTTCTCCTCGTCCGATCCATCTGATGGAAGATCTGATGCAGCCACGTATCCAGTGCCTTTTCGAACCTGCGACAAAGTCCGACAAGTGCTGCGAAAAATTTACACTAGCTCTGTCATACTATCACGATCTATCATGCCGGCACTAGTGCATATGGTTGATGAAGGCCAATGCAGTCAACCACTCTGGAGTGTCTTGAACATATGCGATGCACACAGATCTCGTCTCATTGCAAACCCAATCCTTGGTTCGAGGTTGTCCTTCTTGTCCAGATGCCTGCTGCTGATCACAAGACCAAATGACTAGCTTTGAAAGCTTGCATCTTCACTGAACGACGCTCTCTGACAAAACACATATATGAATGATGGCACCTGGAAGGATACTGATGCTGTTCCCTGGCCATTCAGCATTTAAGGATAAATACTATAAAGAAAAAAACATGTATTGAGCTCGATGTCATACAACGTTAAAGACACATAATGGTCGTAGGAGTCCTCTTCATCATCTGATGGTAGCTCGGAAAGACTCACATAGCCTGTTCCCTTGCGGACCTGGCGCGAGAGACCCACATGCGCCGAATGGATTTGGGATCGCCGAATGGCCTTCTGTTTGGGATCGCCGTTGCCTCCATCAGCCTTGCCACAAAGATGGATGTGTAAGCCCACACAGGATGCAAGATGCAAGCACAGGAATTTAACAATCAGTTGCTACTAGTCTCAAGCTCAACCCGCAAGTCAACTCCCAGTGATTTCCAGTGATTTCCCAACAGAATGAAGAATAAGAAGACAACAAGCAAGAACATGTACACCACCAGGGGCCTTCGCAGGAACGTTGAAGGTCACTCCTCTGTCCTCCTGATGATTGAGAAGTTGAGCAACTGTACAAGTAACTTGCAATTGCAATGAAGCAAACAATACTAACACTAGTCCAAGTTCTGCCAGTGAGTCTCCAAATTGGAAGCTTTTCAGAAAAGGGCACGTGCACGTGCACACACACACACACGAACGAATCCAACTGGTCGGCCATCTGCGCCTCCTCTTCAGATCCATCTGACGGAAGCTCTGAAAGGGATACAAACCCTGTGCCTTTGCGGACCTGAACCAAGCAAAGGCAAACTCAAAGGTGAGCTATACAAAGTCCGTAGTAGGATTCACACATGAACATCAAATCATGTGTCGTCGGACCATCACAAACAAACTAAAACAAACTGTTTATGACATAGTTTAGCATTCTGTTGTTAGCTGTTAGTAGTTGGTTTAGCTTGAATGTACAACATAATGCAAAAAACTTGTCTATTCAAATCTCATCAAGCCTTAGCTCGAGGTTGCCCGTCGTCTGCAGACGCCTGCCAAGCACTGCTACATAAGTGTGCGACAAATAAAAAGTACTTTCAGATATAACTGCACCGTGTTATCCCTGAAAACTTCTCACTTGCGCAAATTTGTGCAGAAACATGTAGAACACGTGTACCTGGAAGGAGACTGCTGCCGTCTCCTGCCACGAAAGAACAGTTCAGGTAGCCCGAAAGCACTTCATTCATGCAACAGTCCATTATCATAGTACCGTCCGAATTTGTGTATGTTGTTTCGCCGAGAAGCAGCCTCCTCACCATCCGATGGCAAGTCAGAGAGACTCACATAGCCTGTGCCCTTCCGGACCTTTAGGGCAAGCACCGTCGAGAAGCAGAACACCAAGCAAGCGAAGTTGGCATGGCGTGCCTTGACTTTCGGATCTGCGTTGCGGTCTTCCACCTACAAGTAGCCATGCTTCTGAGATGCTTCAGCTATCAACCAATGTGTCAAAATTGTTGAACAGTCTTGAGACTGTTGTACAACTCCCCAAGCAGCTCATAATTTTTTGAACAGCAAGTATGGCTACAATGGCTACAACTCAGTCCCAAACACAGGACCTTTCAAAACCCAATCGCAAACAGCGTTCTACTCGCAAAAAACAAGGAGTCTTTCAGCTTCTGGAAGCTGTGCCAGTCTCAACCCAGTCTTGGATAGACCTGGTGACCAGATTTCAAGCATTCACCCAGCCTGAGCAGGAACATTGAAGGTCACGCCTCTGTCCTCCGCATTTTTCCGCGCAGGGAGAAACACGTGTTTCAGCGCTGCATGGCGCGGATATTGATGGTAGGTCCCCGTTCGTAGAGATACAGTTGACAACTCGCAAAAATCGATCACACAGGCTACGAACAAGGTGCATATAGTCCTGTTTGTCATGCTGGTTCTGGCAAGATTGGCAAGGTCCCTGCCTTCAACTCAGCCTCATTCATGGGGATTGGTGGCTATTGACGCTTTCCCAGCGTGGGCTTCCAGTGGATGAAAGCATTTTTCACCCATCCTTGGCAGTGTGCTTTTGTGGCAGGATATCTGTTTGCAGCAATTGCTGCAGGACTTGCTACATCCACAGTATCAGTCATGTTGGACTAGACGAGAGGACACATATGGGCGTGTATTCAAATAGGGAGACCTCCCAATTCGACTCCCTGGGACAAGGAAAATAGACCAGTCTATCATCCAACACCCATTGAGCCAGGGTGTCTCCCTATTTAAATACGAACAGAACGAACAACAGAACGCATACAATTACATTATATATGTTTATATATTATATAAATATGATATGCCATATCAAAACCATGCTCCTGTTCCACAATAGACCAAAACCCATCTCCAACCGAACGCGCGTCGCCGCTGTCGCCGCATCATCCTCGTCGTCCGATCCATCAGATGGCAGGTCGGACGCAGCGACGAAGCCGGTGCCCTTGCGGACCTGGAGGCTTTGAGGCAACGACGATTCGAGCACCCTGCAGGCTCCGAGGTCTCTCAAAGTTATAAGAACTCGGTATGAACTCGTCACGTCGGCACTTCAGTTTCACCCAGTTTGATCGACGGATGGATTTCGTTTCAGAGAGTTCCAGATTCGGCATGGCAGTGTGCTACGAAGCATGCGACTTGCAAGTGACAATTTGTTAGCAGTGTGATGAAGTGTGTAGCTCCTTAACTTAGTGTGAGGATTTATCCAATCTTGAGACTTGAGAAGCTGAAAATAGTTGGAGTCTACGTGCGTATCACAAGACAAAGACTCTTGTCGACGCTCTGCTTGTGGCCTTGGCCCGGGGTTGACCTTCTTCAGAAGGACCAGATACCTGCAAGAACGACAACGGAGCGCAGGTTTGACTGGGGCACCTAGCCGTCTATATGGCTGTGAGATGCTGTGAGAGAAAAGCAGGGGGCAGGGACTCAGGTTGACAACCGAAAATGAAATACCCTGCTGAAAACTAACATGGAACCTGAAAACCACGGGTGCAGCCAGAGTAAAACAGTCGGACTCAGCGTGCCATTCGACCCGGGTCCATGTGAGATGACTCAGGAGTGTAAATAGAGTACCGGTCAACCTACGAACGGGGTCCAGGTCTTGACCGATATCACCCAAGCCGGTACAAAGCAGCTGGTCGACCATGCGAGTTCTGGCAGAAGAAATGGCGTGTTTTGTTTTGAACCCGAGACAATGATACCTATGGCCCCGGGGGTAAAGTACCCAGAGTTGAATGGCATTACATGTCATATTCGCAGGTGAAATACAAGTCTCTGCGGCCAAAGGCTGTATGTTCCAAAGAAATGCATTCTAGAATGCCATTTCATGCAATTTCAAGCTTCAACTCTGCCATGAAGCTCCAAACCCCCGCACGTAAAACCATTCCAATTCAGAGTGGATGAACTTGCTCCACCTCGACTCCTTCCAACATCCTTCGACTCCAAGGACGTCTTCACCCCTTTCCTTCGACCAGAATTCCAAGCCGCTTACGAACGTCGTAACCAAGGGCATCGTGATTCGAACGGAGCGTTCGGGCGCCGGCCGAACGGGGCGCTCCTGGCATTGCTGGGAACAAGAAGCTAGTAGGTAGGAGGCCATCGCTATTAGGTTGGAGGCATTACTAGTTACTAGGAACCAGAAGCTACTAGGTTCCAAAGCCGCCTCTGGCCGGATCGTCCGGAACCCATTGGCCTCCGGGAAGCGCACGCCTTGCTCCTACGGAGTGAGGACGTGGTGTTCAGTCTTCCATGTTAGACAGAGGCAAGTTGCGTGTTCGAGGCCCTGATCATCTCCAATTCGAAACTCTCAAGTGCTTGTAAGGGTGTCTATGGTTGTGTAGGATTTTCTCATCAACAAAGGATTATATATATATATATGTGTATATATTGTGAGCCTGATTGTATCAACATATAAACCATGCTGCAAAAGAACACGGTTGTCAAGAAAGAGATTCATGTCGTGCTAAGAACCATCTTCAAGCCTTGCATCCTTCTCTCGTTCGTTGGTTTTCACACTCCCTGGAAATTTTGATGGAAGTGAGTGGAAAACCAATCATCACCCACCACCACCACCGCTCACCACCACCCACCACCACCAGTCTTCAGATATTCATGCCAAGTCCGAAGTCTGGCCTCCGTAATTAGTGGTATCAGTTGGGTCTATCCTATTAGCTGGGCCCAGTGGATGATGATGGTGTGGTGGCAGGCCTTGTCCAACAATAGTGATGCTCTTGTTTACTGACCATTACAGGTAAGAACGGACAGACCCTGCGGTATCACTGGTCTCCTGTGGTGTCGTCTCCTGTCGTGTCTGTGCCTTCTCTGCCATGCAGACACACTGCCCTGCTCGTCATCGGGCCTCCTCATCATCATCCGGCAAGTCCGAGAGGCTTACAAAGCCGGTTCCCTTCCGGACCTCGGTCCCCCCGCGTCCGGCCGGCGTCCTCCGAGGGAGTACCCCTCTTCCGGCCGGCGCGAGAGCTGTGCACTCGTGCGGGCCCGAGGGAGGCAACTGGCAGTGTCAGGACTTCACAGCTACCCGGTTTGAATCTGAAAAGATTGGCCGGTGGAATCTGCTCTCCTCTCAAACATCTGGACGTCTAGTGGTGACAGGAAAGTTGAACTTTGAAGGAGTTTGACAAAAAGAAAGGTAGATCCAGTGAAAAAACTTTTGGAATGAAAGCAAAGACTTGCATGTGGTTTCCATAGTCCTCGCTGAGCAGAAAAGAATTCCCGCAAACTGATCATGTCAGGAATGACATGTTTCCCAGTAAATTCTAACAATTAAAAGTAACATCTTCTACAATAGGAACTGAACAAAAACCACCAATTCCACATACAAACCCACCTATCCACCTGGTTCTTACCCAGTGCCATAATTCTTTGACCATTCAGATATTACTTACATTAGCATGACCAAAACCAATGGCCGTGCAAAACCCGTTCGCGTTCTTTCGCTAAACCGGTGCGCTGTGCACCGGTCGACGGACGTGGAGGCTTCGACGGAGGGAGGGATGAAGCGTTCTTCGGTCATCGAAGTACCCCGAAACGTCACATTGGACCCTGATTGTTGGGGGGTACCAACAAAAACGTGTTTCCTTCTTCCCTGGTTGTGGTTCTTGCAGGTTTCCATGTGAATTAGTCTTCCTGGGTGTGAATGATACAATTCAGTTCTGGCATCAAAATATCTCCATTGTAACTATGCACAATGTACTTGACTAGTAGTGGACTTATGTGGACTTACCTGCATGGAACTCGAACGATTTTGAAGCAACATCTACGGAGCTTGGCTCCACACAGGCTCTTTGGGCGAATGGCTGGCCTCTGCATCCTGGCGAAACCCGAAGTCCGCGCCAGGTCCCCACCACAACAAGACTAAAACACACACTTTGTTTTATCATCATCCACTGTGTATGTCTTGAGTCTATCCTATTGCCTGGGCCCAGTGGATGATGATGGTTAGGTGGGAGGCCTTGTCCATGAAAAGGTGATGTTCTTGTTTACTGACTCTTACAGGTAAGAACGGACAGATTCAATGTACACTTTCAAAGAGTATATCATCATCCCATTACCAACCGTGGATTTTGGTCCGCACCCTTCACTCAAATAGTGATCGTTTCCCGACTGTGGCAGCAGACGCGGTCCGGGTGTTTTTCTCGGTCCTAAGGTCCAGCTGCATCCATCGGCTTGACGTGGGGACTGGTGATTGACGTGGGGAAGGACACACTCCCTGCAATCACAATGGAAGGGCCATTATACATTTCTACAACATAACATGTCAGGGAGTCTAAGCAGTACATCCCTTTTAGGGTGTGATTTAAATCAAGCTCCCAAAGCCCTGGTATGGGTGCTTACAAATCCTTAGGACTGTCATAGAGGGCCCTCACCCTCCCTAATCCTGCAACACAACCTCATATGTGCAAACCCAGTGGGGAAAAAAGCCTTTGGCACGTGGGTTTGTCTAGGAAAAAACAATGACTTCATGAGGGGAACGAGTGAACATGCGGCCACATGCTGCTGGTCCTGTTCATTGCCCAAAGGTTTAGGGCAGTCAGGTGATCATCCACTCCTGTTCTCCTGAAAAATCCAACACTAAAGCCCCCTTCAAAGGTCGGTGTGACAACCCCTCAGGTTACCTGTCATGGCGTTTACCCCTGGCTGGTGGCCCGGGGCCTCTGCAATGAAGGAGACACCTCGGCCACCTGGGTCCTGAAGCGAAAGATGAAGGACGGAAAAGGGCAATTCACAATCATTAACAGTTCTTTAAGATGTATCAGCTGGGTGAAGCCAAGATAAAACAAACCACATTGTAAGACAACACGGCAAAGTGGCAAAGACACGGAATAGGGTCCCAAGACCGGGCCCCAAAGCCATATAGAAGCGTATACCAAGCAGCTATGTTCTTACAAGGGAAAACACAAGAACAAACATATACCCATGTCCCCCTTTGATTTATCGAGCCATTACCATGAAGAATGGCCCGAAGATTGGAGGCCAATTCACAGGGCTCACCGCTCCGTCGACGCACGGACCTTGGCTCTCACCCATCACCGCTCGGACTTCGTTTTCGATCAACGCCCGGATGAAGAGCTCTGAAAAGCCCCAAAAACCGAACAACCGGTGAACAATTAACAACCCAGAGGCTCATGGACCCGAACCAACTGCTACATGTTTGAGGTCCAAAACCCTGGCTGTGAGGGTCAAAACCCTAGCTATGATGGTCCAATGAGCCTTTGGGAACAACAAAAAAGAACTCTTCCCTCCCCCCACTGCTCCTGTGGCCCTGCTCGTGCGGCTGCTGGTCCTTTTCATTGCGGCACTCGGTCGCGACCCCCCCCACGCTGCGTGAAGCACCACCCAAGGACCCGCAGGGACCCGCAGCTCCGATCATCACGAAGGAAATGGGGCTGAAACTGGGTTCGGTGGCAACGACGTCGTGGGGTTCGGTGGCAACGACGTTCTTCGATCCGGTGGGATTGATGAGTCCTTCGAGTCTGCAAAAGGTGTTAAAACTGGTTGCAGCATGTTGCAGCACCCTGTTTCAGAGAGAGGATTTGCAGACTCAGCACGGCTAGAGGCGCACGGCTAGAGGCGCACGGCTAGAGGCGCACGGCTAGAGGCGCACGGCTAGAGGCGCATGGCTAGAGGCGCACGGCTAGGCGGGCGCCACCTCCCGCCCCGAAGCCTCCCCCGAAGAAACCCCCAAGTGTTGTTCGCTCATGTTGTGAGTGATTTACATGGTCATCGTACGGGCGAAGTCACCACGGACGGCGACGGAGATTCGACATGTTGAGATTCGAAGATACATACTATAGACCGTCTCAAATCACGACGAGGACATACAAGGACCGTATAGCTCCTTGATTTGAAGCAGTTCCACTCCTCAGTGCAACAACAAACAGACTCAAACCAGCTCAGACCTGCGAGCTTTGGACGCGGTAGATCGACCGCAGGTGGCAGTGCCCTGTTTCCACGGCCCAACATCGGTCGATCCCCAGTCCTTTCTTTGGTATCCGCAGCCTGGGGAGGACGGCCAAGCACGGTGTAACCGATGTCCAAAGGTATCAAGCTCAAGATGTCTGAGATTTGACATATTGCAAGATCTCAAGCAAGAACAACAACGCACAAACGAACAATCGAATAATCAATAAATATATATTATATATTATATATATATTGTCATTTTGATATACTTTGATTCAAATGGATTCAAGACGGACATGATTGGTGTTCACAACAACCTCCCAGTTCGCCTTGAACAATTGATGTTCACATCCAAACTTGAACCCAAACTATCAAGTTGAAGGCCCAAATCCTCGAAACAGGTCTAGATCATCTACCGGGACCTTCAAAGGGGTGTCCTGGCTGGAGATGCCGGATGGTAGTGTAGGGGCTTCCAGCCAGGTGACCCCTTTGCAGGTGCTGGTAGAGATTATAGATACTAATGATGTCCAAATCAGGAACAACAAATCCCAGATGTTCAAACCAGTCCCACATGTTCCAAATCCAGCCTTCCCAAGCCTTCCCAAGCCTTCCCATGTTCCAAACATCCAAAATGATTTCCAGCCTTCCCAACATCCAAATCTCCACACCCAAATCTCCACCCGCTGAGACATTACTGGGACTCCCAACGGAGTGCCCTGGATGCTCAAGTCGGGCCTTTCCGAAGGTCGGACAGGTGGGAAAAGGGCTAAAATCAGAGCTTCATGCTCTCCAACCTACTAGCGATGGCCTCCAAGAGCTTCATTCTCTCTCCAACACAGTTGTATTGGACATGCCTTCATTGAGCATGTTGGGCGAACGCAAGGGCGTACGGGGAAAGACCCCGTGGTGGCGAATGGAGTTCCGCCTCCCTCTTTGGGGGAAGACCGGCGACGCCCGACCGCTCGCACCGCATCACGCCCGCAGCACGTTGCGCCTCCCGCTGGTGCGCACCGCTGTAGCACTGGGAGAAAAGGCTTCTCGGAGTCCGTCAATATGTTCTCCCACGCTCAGTGGGAGAACATAAGAACCCCGTGCACCCTTTTGTTCGTCCATTGCTGCCCGTGTCGGTCAGCCAATGTTTGAAGAGAACTTCGTCGCACTTAAAAAGCCAAACCAGCTTCAACATCAGCTGAAACAGCTTCTAAATCTCGTCGTCCTTGATTTTCTTTTGGCACCTCGTTTGAGTAGGCTGACCTTCCTTTGCCCATTCTCTGATCCGAACCACGCGCCTTTGCAGATCTGCAGATCGAGCGGTTGTGCCTTGGAAAAGTGAAGCCCTGAGATAGGGGGAGACACCGATGCCACTTCCACCCCATTGAGATCCTCAACGAACAGTCAGTAGTCATCCTGAGTAGACGGGAAAATCAAAACAAACCAAAAGGAAACCTGGTTTATCATTGGTTCAGATTCATATACCTTTAACTGATCCCCAAATAGATAGTGGCCACTACATTTTTAGTGGGGATCGACTTTCTATCTATTTGGGGGTCTATATAATATATATTCAAAGAACTATTCAAGGATGGTTGTAGTTTCAGCATGTTTCAGCATAAGATTACTGTTGATACCACCGGAGATGATTTACTCTTGCCTCCGAACATTGCTGCTTTGACCAGCTCATACTTAGTAAACCCAACCCCGCAGGAACTAGCAAACCACACATAAAGTTGGGTGATAGCCCAAACTTGATTTCTATAAGATTGGATCTCGAAGTCCATCGGGTCCGTTTGCCCAATTCTTTGGCCTGGCAAACAACACCTTAGACACCCACCAGCTTCATCGCAGATCTTGATCCAGTCAGGTTCCTCCTGCCGCGCAAAGAGATGGTGAGATGGTGGGGTCAACAAGTGGACTGCCAACGGGGGTCTTCACATCGGTTGGTCAAACACGTATACCACCTTCAGCTTGGGGTCTCCAATGGAATACCCTACACATCCCTATATCCATATCCTTTGGACACCCCTCCTATGACACACGACTCTCTTTCAGGAATTCTTTTTGACCATTTGGAGTCCACCATTTGGTGTGTCCAGGTGACAGGGTGCATCGGTCCACCCACACGGTCTGCGTCCATCGGTCCGCGGCTTCCGCACAGTCCAGCTGCCTCCATCGCTCCAGACGGCTCCAGACCGGACAGAGAGAGAGTGGATCCCATGCCCCGCAGGGGTTGCTGGGTACACAAACCAGGAGCATCCTGTTGGGGTGTTGGGGGTGTCCTTTCTAGACTAGCCTATACATAGAGATCTCCAGGGACACCCAAACAGGATGGTCTATAGCTATAAATAGGCTAGATTGTTGTGTATAGAATAGGAACAAGCTTCATGTCCATCCAGAATTAGTGGCCCTTTTCTGCCGAACCTCAACATCGTCGTGACCTCTCAAGTGGGGAACCCCCAGGTTGAGCACCTGCCATAAGCATGTGGGCCGGACCTAGTGGCTCCTCCTGGAGTTCACGTGGCGACAGCAACAATTCTAGTCCATTTGACCCAAGTATCCCAAAAGGTTGGCACCTCTTGAGGCTGAGCAGTAATTCAAAAAGCAATCCTCCCGTCGCTGAGTTGAGTTGAGTCTGTAATCTTTGTTGGAGGAAGTGTCATTCCGGTGGATCCCAGCCACTTCATTCGTTCTATGATTGAAGTCCACTGGTCACCACTCCAAGAGAGGTTAAGTGACCCTATAGGACCCTACTGGGGTACCCAACTGGGATAGTCTATAGGGTCGTTCAACCTGGTCACTGGTCACTGTTCCCGTCAGCACCGTTCCCGTCGCCTGCGGTACAGTCCGGTCTAGCTCGGTGGGTTCCCCAGCTAGACCGGTAATAGCTCGGTTTCACCCCAACGCCGCCAACCGAGGTGAAGGAACCTGAAAAAGGACCCGTTCGCCTTGGGGTACTTATAGGATATTGAATGATATAGATGGATCATTAGTCGAACTATAGGGTTCTTCAACCTGCGGACACACTCGCTCACCACCGGCGCGACGGTGTCGCGGTGTCGCAGGCGTTCGCTCCCCATCGGCTTCTTCTCGGCCCAGTACGGCCACCTGAAAGCGGCCGCTTCGGTGGTTTTCGCGGTGGGCGTCGCGGTGGTCGTCCGAAAGGGAGCTTCTTTTTTCGGGAGCTGCCTTCCTGGTCCCCAGGAAGAGTAGAAAGGAAACCAATTCGCTGATGTGTTTCTTTCCCATGCTTTTCCACATGGCTGCAGAGGTTCTTTTCAGACCGAATCCTTAAGGATAGATCCCACTTAGATCGGCCCTGTAAGACTCCAAGCAATGCACCAGCATGTGAAAACCCCACAAAGGATCGCCCATTGTACTTCTGACGCCACATCAAATACTCACAGGCTTCCAGAACTGCCAGCAAATAGCTGCTTTGGGGTGTCTTATCAATATCTAAAAAGGCAAATGTTCAGGGAGATCTCAAAGAGATGGATCTTCTATGGGAGTTTGAATCTCGCACAGTTCCTTTTCGCAGCAGCGAATCAGCTCAAGGGCCCTGTTCAGCCGAAACAGCAGCGACGGTGCATCAACTGTACGCAATACACCCTGGCTACAACAGCTGAAATTCACACCCGTCTTATCTACAGGTGTGTTGCGGGCTTTACAGTTCAAGTTGTACAAAGGCAGCCAAGCAACTCTATTCCCCGTGGGGCCGTAAACCATGCCATTCCATGTCGAATTCTCAAAACAAGTCAGGTGAGACTTCTTCATCCTTCTTCTTGGCTCCCTTCTCGCATGTGCCACTGTTCTCGACATTCACAAGGCCACTTTCCAGTGTCTTGAGGAGGTAGTCCGGCTTCATGCTCTTGGTTAGCGGGTCTGCCAATTGCTTCGATGTCTCAATCCACCTCAGGTGGTCACCATAGGGACTGTAGATCTCTGATGTTTTCTCGCCACTCACAGTCCATATCCCTTGCCTCAATGCGGCAAGTTCTATGCCAAGCCTCTTGTCTTGTACCTTTCTTGGAACTTCTGCCAGTAAATGGTCCGATAAGCTCCTGCAATCCGTGTAGTACACGTGTGCCATTCGCCTCTGGGTTTCTTCATGCCAGTTCTTGAAGTCATCAAGTCGTCCGGTCAGCTCACAAATCAGGCATCGTAGGCGATCTCCATGTTCGACTGCAGTTTGCAGAGCATATGCTTCTGCTTGCAATGTAGCACGACACACCCTTTTGAGGGTAGTTGAACCAAAGCTGATCAGATGCATTCTGTGACTGCCTTCCTTGAGGCTACTCGCATTCGTTATATAGTGAATGCGGCCTTGCTGACTCTTAAAGCCTTCTTCGTTTGCGAAACTTGCGTCACTAAATGTCACAACTGCTAGATCGCTCCAGTCAATCCAATCACTCTTGAAGGTGATCTGCAAGTCACTTCCTTGAAGTGCCAATTCAACAACCTTGTTGGCGTTCTTCAAGTCTTGCACTGTTGCCTTTGCGCTACATGCACGCTGCATCTCATTCACACGGTAACAAAGGTCTGGTCTTCCATAACGGGCAACCCAAGCCAAACTACCAACAACGCTCCTGAGGCTTGTCAACTCCTTCTCTGTCACCTTTTCCGACAGCTTCCGATGCTTGTCGATTTCAATCGGCTTCACTGTTCTGCAGTTTTCACTTGTAGAAATGCTCACGGAGTAGTCCTCATGCTGTACGAACTGACGTCCGCAGTATCGGAACCTTCCCGATTCTGTCTTGCCAATCGTGAACCTTTTGAGGATACCTTCAATTGTCTTCTTGCCTTCATCAAGGTAGCAATACAACAAGTCGTCAACATGTGTCGCGACCATGCCTATCAGCTTTCCCTTGGAGTTGTGCAAATAGTACAATGCAGGTGTAATGCGACTACACTTCAATCCGGCACTGGTGATCTCACCATTCATCCTCAAGTAAAAACCTCTGCCAGCGTCGATCGTGCCATAGATCGGAAGGCGTGCAACCAACATTGCATCCGGTGGAACATCCGGGCTTGGAATTCCACCACGTGGCTGTTTGAGCAACAGCAACCTCGTCATAGGCTGACTTTGAAAATACGCTGAGGAAACATCTGCCGCATACAGGGTCACACGATGGCTTGATGCGAAGCTTGCAATCAACATGTGTCCTTCAGTCTCAGCAGTGGGGCTATCGCAGCGAATACCCTGTGAATCACGGCTCACTTGTTCGTGATTTCCACAAGGTACTAGCCGAGATCTGTTTTCTGGCCGATGCTCAGGCGTACCTGTCAGATGAGCTTGCTTATCCACATCTACCCATTGCATAGGAATAGGAACATGCCCTTCTTGAAGTAACTCTTCCAATTCCTTGCCTCGAATAGGCATTGCAGCATTGAAGCTCCTATATTTGCTCCACTCTGCACGACGTGCATCCAAGATGCGGGCTTGCATCTCGGGAGTGCATCGGTCGTATTGCAGCGTCTTTGCCACCTTGCCAACCTGCGTCTCACTGTTTTCTCCAAAGCGTTGAGCCACGAAGGCTCGAAACTCTGCAGCATCGAGTTCAGTGTCGTCAGCAGCGGCCATGGCGATCAACGGGTGTTTTACCCGTGTAAAGATTGTGAAACCTGTCCATGCGCGAGAATCAACTTCATCCATGCCCGGCATGGACTCGCTGGTCATTCGACTTCCGTCTTCATAGACTTTTCTGGTTACGCGTCTTCCTCCGAATCCTTCCGGAACATCTCCGTCATGCAGCGGATGAAAATCATGAAATCTCCTCTTGTTGTGAACACGAATTGCATGATTCTCAGAGATTCTCCAATGATCTTCATTGTCAATCATTGCGAGCATGACCTCATCATCACCACCAATGCCTCCGGGGGTCATCGGAACTGCGACTGCGCTCCCACTCGCGCTTGCAGATGATCGGGCAGCCTTGCCCGTCTTATCTTCTGCTTGTGCTTCTCTCTTTTGTCCCTTCTTAGGGCTTGCTTCTTCGTCCATCATTCGGATGTACTTCTGCTGCCCCAATGTCACTGCCTCCGGGAAGACTGGGATGTTGTTCAAAATAGAGTAGGCCAAAGATTCACTCTCATTGGCTGATCTAAGTTTTCCGGCAGCACACAAAATAGGAATACCTTCATGTAGCAACCAGATGCCATTATGCGGGTCGATGCCAATCACACGCGAAGCAGTAGACCATACGGTTCCACCTTGCTGGGTGTCTCGACGGTAGACCACAAGGTCTCCAACCACAAATGACTTCTTGTTCTGGACTGCGGCATTCCTGGTCAATGCTCTTGCAACACGGGAACTTGTATCCAGATGAATAAATGCCTTTTGTGCAGCCATACGGGATGCGTGACACAAATGATAGCTTGCTGCAGGGTCAAGCTTGTTCTCCAAGATGCCCAAGTTTCCTGCCTCATCCATGTCTGTCACAGATCCTGGAACTCTTGGGTTCCTTCCCAGGACCCATTGTGCTGGAGAATAGCCTTGGACTCTTTGCATATGGTTCTTCACGGAAGTGCATTCGTGCAAACATGTTTCAACCGCATTGCGACCAACGGCTTCCATGTCATGGATGGTCTTCCTGAGAATTGCCTTCAAGATACCTTGGTGCCTTTCAACCTTGCCAATGGCTGATGGGGTTTCCAATGGTGCATAGAAGATCTCAACACCATGCGAAGCGAACAGCTTGGACCCCTCACCTCGGTTGTGGACACCTCTATCCATGATTGCAGCCTTTGGAAAACCTGCCCAACTGATCCATCTGCGAAGGATGGCTTGTGCACAGGCTTCTGACGTTGGCATACCTCCACCTTCTTTGACAACCTCTGACAAATGGAATCCTGTCGAAATGTCTAGCATCGTGAGAATGCTGTACTTGCTTCCTGCATAGTCCTTCATTTCTGTGACATCAAGACCAAGCATGGCATTGAACTCATACTGGAAATTACTATTTCCTACCGGGTGGTCACGGGGACGTGGTGCAGTGTCTTCGCAGGACTGACAACGGACGAGACGTGCAGCTTCGATCAACTCCTTGCTTGCCTTACCTGCCTTTAAAATATTCTTCAAAGTTGACGGTGCGGGATGTCCGAACTGCCGATGCAAGCGACGAATTGCAATGCGAGTCCTCTGGGGGAGAGCACGCCACAATCGTCTCCGTTTCTGTTCTGTCATGTCGGCTCCGGGCAATGCAAGTTGATCTAGCATGAGTTCTTCCTGTTCTCTTGCCGTCAATGGTTTTCCATCATCATGTTTGGGTTCCTGAAACACTCCCTCAATGTCACTGTCCTCAATTTCAGAAATGTCTTCAAGTTCGTCTGCGACAAAACATGTCCGTGCAAAATGTTCCAAATAAGTTTCTTCTGACATGGTGTTCAACATCTCTAAGAGTCTTGCCGATTTCGCGTCTTCGAAACATTTTGGAATCATGTTCTCTCCGCACCAACCTTCCAGCGCCTCCAAGATCTTGGGGCTCTGTGGACCTGCCAAGGCAAACTCTAGGTCACCACCAAGGCAAATGGAGTGTTCGACAGATATCTCGAGAAGTGGTGTGAAAAGAAGAAGGTTGCAACCGTACATGTCGACTTCCATGAGCATATCATTCCAAATCCTCCTGGGGTCCGTGTTCTCCAAAAACAGTACAACCAAACCAGGGATCTTATTTGAAATGTGCTTGATGACCTCCTTGCGGGTCTTCATCCAGTTTGCACCTACATCGAATACCTTTGCACTCTGGGGTGCATTGATCAACATGTCATCCTTGACAATGACCATGTGTTGCACACTCAACGGGTTATTCGAAACAAGTGCATGCAGGACTGAGTCATTCTCTTGCAAAGTCTGCAGACCGGCGACAAACACTTGTTTTTCTCCTTTGTTCATAGTCCGGTGATCCAGAGCTACGAATGCGTGACCATCGCTGTCGGAGCTCAGCTCGATCTCCCCTTGGAAGCGGCTCATGATGAACTTGTCTCTGTCGAGCACCTCACGCGAGCTAGTCGGACGATCCGGAGTGCTTCGTGTACTCATGGTAACTACATCATCGTCTGACAATTCCTCTTTGGGTGCGTTCGACGGATCGATAGCGGTGCAGCCATGG